TCCCTTGTGCCAAACATAACTGTGTTGCAAAATACTTACTTTCATTTGAATAAGTTCTTCAAGCTCATTCTTCAATCTTAGATATGTATCTGCCAAGGAAGGTTTCATGAAAAACTCCAAGTATCCTCCCAACATTTTCAAGTGTCCATCCTATGCAAAAGCAGGAAATGATCCCAGTAAAATATATGGCACAATAAAATGAAAGAAAATTAATTATCATGGATATATTTTGCAAGAATCGATATTGTCGATAGTATCGACTATAGATGAAAAAAGAAACCAGGCCGCCTCTAGAAATCTTTCCTCCAAATAAGAGAATCACGGAATCAGATACCGCAGTTGAATCCAGGAGAAATACTGAATTCACTTTAACCTTGTCATTGAAAACCAGCCAAGGGTATGGAATTTTGGGTTCCTGGGCGTTCATAGAATTCTGGGAGAAAGAAAAAGATAATGCTATCCACATTAGAACTCAAAAATAGAATACCTAAATCTGATGATTGTTTTAATATTAAAACATGTTTATGGATGATGCCTTGCCGAACACCATACCAAAAAAGAATTTCTTATAACCTTCTGCGCATTTCTATAGATGACAAGTAATCAGAAAACAAATACATATCACAACAAGGTGCTTCATTGGGAAAGTGTTGCTTCCACAAAAAAATAAAAATAAAATGTTAATTGTTTAATACATTTGAAATGACTACGCTTGAAACTGGACCAACATTTATTGTGAAGCTGTCAACACCAATAGCATTTGATAAGACTATAATGATCTAAGAAAATTTCACATCTAAAGTGAACCACAAAGAGAAAACAAAATTAAGGGAAAATTTGAGCAAAGAAGCAACCACTGAATAATGAAGCCAAGGTCCTATTTATCTCCATGACAATGTCATGATTTTTTATTTTTTTATTTTTTTTAAAATCATCTTGATGGTGTTGTATTTGTGCGCCATATTTGTATTCTTGCATAATCCATTTTCCAAACCAAATAAAAACAAAGAAACAAATACAAAAACAAGCAAGCAAGATAAATAATAACACTATTATGATGCTACTAAGAGACAACGTGAAGGAGGAACCCGGTTCTAGATCAACTATTTTATTATGTAATTCCTTTTCAATCAATAAATCAATGACAAACCTGTTCCAGCCAAACCTGTTCCAGCAAGATAATTATACATCAGCAACACAGTTACACTCAGCACCTTGACTAGTAAAATTGGGAGAAATTACAAACATAATTTGGATTTGACGATGACTTTGGTAGAAAACAATGCAAATATGATTTAAAATGTCAAGAACTGAATGACCCCTACTTGGATTTAGAACCTCAGATAAGTACAGACTTCTAATGGTGCTTGCCAACTAAACAAAGAGGTAACAAGTTCAACAGCCTCAAACAAATAAGGCCGTTCAATAATTAAATTATCCAGAAACAAATGCCAACTTCTATCAGTGAGCTTTCATCAGCCTGAGGTTCTTGTTGGTCTCCGATGAGAAAGAAAGACTTGGGAAACGGCAGCTTTGTGTTATGTGGACTTTATGGAGGGAATGCAACATGAGGTCTTTTGAGAGGATCTATACTCTTTTATCTATTCTTTTGGTATAGAGAGGAGTGTCCTTTCTCAGTTATTTACATTTTACTTGCTAAAATAAACAAATAAATAAAAATCACACATCTATGTAAGTTGAAGTACTTAGCAAGTGATGATTTAAATGTAGCTTTATGTACTCAAAAATGTACAATGATCACTAATGATAAGATGTCAATCAAAGAATGAAATAAACGAGCACCTAAATGGGGCTTGTTGCTATAATTGGCATGAAGCTTGATTTACAAGCACTTTCTGCTTTTTATTGCTCACAGGTACCTGTGAAAATGATAAAATAAAGAGAGTTAGTGTAACAACTATTGCACCAAAAAGGAAAGGGAAAAATGGTGACACTAGCATATAATTAAATATTCAATTTGCTCATGAAATCCTTATGCGAATCCTTATGCAATTCATCATTTTGGTAAACAGGAATCCTCAACTTTTTGTGCTGAACAAATTACCATACATATATAATCAAGTTCGCTAACAAATTTTGAAATGAGTTTCAATACAACATTACAAAGCGTAGGTGAAAAGGACTATAACTGCCTATAAATTTTGAGTAATAAATGCATAACCCATTACCTTTCATCGCCGTCTTCCAACACATGATTATGCACCTGTTAAAGAAATGGAAAAACATTAAAAAAAGGACAATGAGTTTACTGCGAGATGAGGTGAATAAACGAATATGCAAAAAATTCAAATATTACAATGATAACAAGACACTCATACAGCCAAGTGTGTACATGGCAAATACACAAGACCCTTTAGGAGACTACACATTACAACTTTATTGGACACATTATTTCAACATTTTCTCACTTACAAAACCACACATCACCCTTTAGTATAAGCAGCTGCCTTTTAATAGTTTGCATAAATTCATTTTCAGTTTTTTTTTTTTTTTTTCTCATCACTCAAGTTCCATCAGGAGAATGAATGCCAAATGAGATGTTAATGTATCTTCAAATATAGACTTCAAAAGTTATCACTTTGAACTCACCAGAAAAGCAGGAGACTTTGCCTCAAGAAATTTAGAACAGTTAGGTGCCCAACGCTGACATCGAACCATAGCGCCACCATGCCATTCAACATTATAATCATATGCCAATTCAGTTTCAACGGAAATATCTTGCTCCACAAATATACCAACCCTTATTTCCCCCAAAACTATCCACTTCCTAGTCTCACAATTTGGATGGCTGCAAGACCAAAATAATATGACGATGCCAGGGAAGATAACCAGAATTACATAAGGCAGACAATTCCATTTCATAATTCCTCGATACTTGTTTGCACTCCGCAGACCAAAAAGGGTACAAACAATACCTCATTATATCTATACTAAATACTAGTATATAAAGGGAGAACACCAATTGGTGAATCCCTGCCATGAATAGCATGATCTTCCCCTAAACCGCGGAGTACATCCCCCATCTCCTCCTCTACACATAACGTATACAAACACATTGGTTCTATATACAATCACTCAATACATACAATTAATGTATTCTATCAACCGTCAAATTCCATGACACATTCCATTGATTAGTTTCCGTTTGCCTAATCATCATGCATTGTTTACAACAATCACGACTATCCTCTACCGATAGCCCAAAGCAGTTATTTCTAAACAGAAAATAAATGCACAATGGATATTCAATCAACATTTCATTCCGGTGAGTGATAAATAATTCAACTACGCCCTTTAACCCTTTGCATTCCTAATCTCAATAATCTCATTTCATTTCCTCATTTCTCTTAATTAATTATCCCAATTAATCAAACAATGTAATTAGGTCATTTTCCATAATTAACATTTCAACCCTTAGGTTCCATTTTCATCAATGATTCAACATTTATTCCATTTCTCTATTCCGAACATGCATCTAGGTTTATTATAAATAAAACTCCCAACTTTTGTAAAATTACACAAAAGCCCCGAACTTTCACAAAATTACCAAACCAACCCCAACATCTCAAAATACTAATATTTAAAGACAAAACCCATAGAGAGGAGTAGGATATCCCTACCTCGAAGTTTGATCCAAAAAGGAGATGAAGACTCGAAGATCAACGTGCTCCAAATCCAAACTTTTTTAGATTAAGAAGAAGCTCTCAACGCCCTCTATCTTTTAACAAAGGCCCTAGGCTAGATTCACACTCTAGGGAGATCAAATCTTAGAGAGAGTGTAGGTTTAGAGAGAGAGAGTCTCGGATCTAGGGTTTGAAAGAAAAAGAAAGTGAAAAACTGATGTTCAAAAACGCTACTGTCCGCTGATATAAAACACGCTTGCTCGAGCGAAGCCTTTGTCGCTCGAGCGACCAGACACAGAAAACTCTCGCTCAAGCCAAGAAGTTCTCGCTCGAGCCAAAAACTCAGGAGTGCACTCGAGCGAAAGAATGCTCGCTCGAGCTAACAACTCAAACCCTCAGGTCTGCAACCAGAAGCACGCTCGAGCGAGAGACTTCTCGCTCGAGCGAAGAACAAACCAGACCGCTCGAGCGAAGAAAGCTCGCTCGAGCCAAGAAATGCAGTCTCAGGTCCAGAACCAGATGCAATCGCTCGCTTGAGCGAAGCCACTCTGGCTCGATTCACCAGACACGAACTCAACTCTCGCTCGAGCGACCAACTCCTCGCTCGAGCGAAGGTCCAAAAATCTGGGTAGCAGCACTAGGCTCCCAAACACAACCAACCTATAACAAACCTGCCCAACACATCCTATAACTCAAATACGAAGTAAAAAGGATGCAGACAAGATAATAAACAACTACCAACATCCATGGACACATGTCCGGATCACTGTACAACAAGGGTAAACCCGGGATCGCTATAACCTCCCCCCCTTAAAGAATTTCGTCCCCGAAATTAAGCACAAGTTTTCAAAAACAGGTTTTCCTCCATTTTAGATAATGTTACATTTCAACATTCAACAATTCGACCCATTACCGGTCATTCCATCCCTTTGACACGAGGCATTTCACAATATGTAAACAACATATGTACTTTCAACATGCACCAACATTACGCATTATCTTTCCAATTTCAACAATATATTCAACATCTATAATGTTACATTCAACTTCCATAGGAGGCAAGTTCCAAAACATACTTCCAATAAACCAAAACATTTTCAATGTTTCACAACTTAAGACATATATAAAAGCTCTTAAGTTCAACAATAGTTCAAAATTTAAATACAAGATTACATATCAACAAACAAGTCCGGATATTTCTCACGGACTTCCAACTCACGTTCCCAAGTGGCTTCCTCCACTCCGTGATGTTTCCACAAGACTTTCACCAAAGGAATGGTCTTGCCACGCAAGACCTGCCCCACCACCCTCGAACTATCTCACCAAACCCTTTCGCCTCAAGCCACATATTCTCAAATCGAAATGGCGTCAGACCACTCCTAATCCCCCCACTATCCAATAAAACTAGCCAATGATAAAAAAACAAGCCGATGCAACCTCAATTGTGTCACCTATGAGAAATGCTCCTCCTAGTCTCCAGTAACCAGGAATCTATCTATACGAGACATAACCCTGCCCCCAGACCAAGTATAACCACCACCTTGTAACGGCAAATCCACCAAATCCAACTCATCGATAAACAAAGAGAAAGCCCGCATGGATCCTGAAACTGATGTCACCCCCTTCTTCTCCACCATATAATGCACTACATTAAAATCACCCCCCACACACCAAGAAACCCCCCATCGAAAAGCTACACATTGTAACTCCTCCCAAAAGCTGACCCGTTTCACTCCCTTACTGGCCAATATACCCCAGTGAAGGCCTATCGAATCGATAATCATCCGCAACACTATGAAACAAACAAGATATCGAATAAGCCCCCATCTCCTCATCCTCTTTTTCCAGCACCCGCCGATCCCAACAAAGAAGAACATCCCATGCCACCTCCACCGCTGGCAAGAAAGTCCAATCCACAAAGCGTCCCCCCTCCCCAATAGCTCTTTAACTGTCTCTCTCCCAATGCATTCAACTTTTGTTTCCTAAATACACACCACATCCGCCTTAACACTTCTCAGTAGAGCTCGAACTGAAACCCTCTTCTCCCTATCATTCAAACCACGCACATTCCAAAATTAGATTTTTAACCGCATGACAACAACAATTGAGCTCCTCGACCTTTCTGACAACACAATTGTCCCCACCTTTGTGCTGATCATAATTTATCGAACACTCAAATTTACGGAACTCCCTAGCATTCTTCGTATTATGTCCTCCCGATGGCATCTCCTTTTGCAATGGAGCAACTCCCCTCCAAGATTCCTCAATGGCCGAAAATACTTTAAGAGCCTCAATTTCATGACCCTCAAAAGAAACACCCAAGAGCTGACTTACCCCAGTGATGTGAGATAACACCCAGGCCGAGACCACCTCAGGCTGCGGAGGAACAGCACCCTGAAAATCCACCTCTGTCGCAAGGCCATCAAATTTAACCAGTGTATATTACATCTATCTCAGTGATCCCTACCCCTGGCTGAACCACCAGAGCCAACTCCTCTGTCAAACAAGCCCAGCAACTTGTGTCCTCCACCTCTACTGCGATACCCTTCTCTCGAACAGCCGACACCTCCCGAAGATGCTCGCCCACTATCGGCGACCTAAATCGCGGCACTCTCCCCGAAACAGCAGAACCGTCGACCTCTCAGAGATCGCCCACTATCGATCGCGGCACAACCCCCAAAACATCAGTACCGTCGGCCTGTCGAAGATTAGGTGACAACCACCCCACAGCCCCCGCCATGTCTCGTGTCGTCGACATGGATCCTAGCCTTGGATCAATCATCTATCGAGGCCCAGATCCGTCGTTCGCCACCACTGACACAAAAGGATCTACTGAGCTATAATGGTTCGAGTCTGAACTAGAACCACTACTTGACCCACTCGGAGACCTAACAACCTGGCCTAAATGGCCCAAAACATTAAGCCCACGATTCACCCCTAAATTTCCTTCTTTTAAAACCTAGCATTGTTGACCCACCTTTTGGCCCACAGCAATTTAGGCCTCAACGTGGCCCAAAAAACCAACCCTTCCCCGACTGGGCCCCTTTCGGGTTAGGTTGCCCCGCTTGCCCTTACCCTTAAAATCTCCCTCAAATCTTTGAAGATAATCACTCATGCCCAAATTTCGCACTCTATCCCCCTGATAACACCTCAAATCACATAATTCCAAGCCAAACCCATCACTGTCACACAACCCTACCACTGATGCCACACACTCCACTGACAGCCCAACCTCCACCCACATCTGAAGAGTGACCGGCCACGATCTCCACCGAACCAAAATGTGTGGCGGCGTAGATTCAGAGCTCCGTACTTGCAGACGAATACAGCCCAGATCAGCCGTTGACTCGTTGGCCGCCACGAAGCCTCCACACCGGTCGCCAATATCACGGTACACCTTGTCGCCACAAAGATGGACAGGAAGACCCATCACACAAAGCCAAACGCTCTTCTCCGGAGCCGGCATCTGGTTGGAAGCGCAAAGAGCCAAAGTCGACCATCACTCCAAGTTCAGATCGCTCCCCTTAACAGTCCACCGCCACCTCATCAGAGTCTGCCTCACGCCTTGACGAGAACACAAACAAAAAAGCCTGGTTCCCTAACAAACGTACCTCCACCTTGCCTGAAGACTTCCACCACCAGTTGACCCAAGCACACATAGCCCCCAAACCCACATGTCTCCCCACCATACCCACCAAAGATCTGTCCAGCATCTTGAACCAGCCCACTTCAGTACAAGGCGTCGCAAAGTCCCCATCAGAATCAACCTTGCCAGATGGAACTTCCAACTGTGCCTCCTTCACCATCGCTACTCTTCAAACCAACAGACCGTCTCACCCATCCATCCCCCATTTTGAAGCCCTCCATAACCAAAGCCAAACCCTCCCAACCATCCCCATAATCCGACATAGGAATGAAGACTTGCTCCCTTCAGACCCCCACAGTCACCACTATTTGGACAGAAGACCCTCCTCTGGCCTCCCCACGAACCCACACTGCTAAACTCGTCTACCTCCACTAAGGCAACCTAGATACCAGAGATGAACTAGTACGTGCAATGCCATCATTAGTTTCTTCACAAGCCAGCATATATCAAACCCGACCAAAACAACAGCCTGTCGGAGCCCCTGACCTCTCCACAATCGACAGACTTCGACGACGTATAGAATCCACCAAAGACTCCTCTAACTCAAACGTGCGACCACCAAAGAAGAGGATCCGCCGGCGCAAGCCGACTTCATTTGCCGCACGAAACATTAGGTCATTCCAAACCTACAACTCCTACAAATTGCATAAATAACTTATAATAAACCTCAGCCATATCATTCAAAAATCTGATGTTCAACCCTAATCTTAACCCAATCAATCACAAACCCTGTTAACTTTAGCCCTAGCCTACGTTCATGATTATAAGACAACCAATGTTACATTGACTCTTCTCAATTTCTGAAGTACCTATGTTGGACACTTTAACACTTGGGTAAAGATATGTGATGTGTGTTTTGATATGCCTAGTTGGAGGTGCACCAAACAAGTTTGTATAAACAATCGAGTTTACTATAAAACTTCTATTTTATTATATTACTATACATAAAAATTATTTTATTTTATACATAGAATATATTTTTTGGTTTGTAAACATTATTTTATCCTAAAAAATAATAGAAGTGTTTAACAAATATGAACTATGTGTCTTGGTGTCCTTGACATGAGAATTAGATGGATCTGGCACTTGGACACAAACCTACACCCAACCACTATACCCAAGTCCATGTAACATAGAGGGCAATACTGCTTGACATCTCATCAATGGTTGACCAAGTACAGAACTTAAGTCTAAACAGATGTTATGCTGATTGAATCCTTAAAAATCTCTCATCCAATCAGCATAATAAGTCAAGCAAAAAGTCATTACAAATACGGAACCTTTGTTTTGCACATAATCTGGCCAAAAGAGAAACTCAAATATCAACTAAGCAACTTATTGATGCCCACATAACCTGAGAATCAAAATATCGATAAACAAAGAATAAACAATGACATCAAACATATACCAAGGACATTCAAAACATAAACTGAAGGAACCAGGTTAACAAGAAATTATAAAATAATCAACAAATAAATAGAAAAAAAAAAGTAGTCAGAACTAGCAAAACATCTTTGTCAACTTACGGAGAAAACTTTCCATCAACCAACTTGAAGCGTCCAATTTCATATATGCAGATGGGCGTTCCTTCCCATATCTAATGCAAAGGAGGGGCAACTCAGTAAACATGGAAGAATTTAATAAACATGGAAACCTGACTTTATAGAGCTTTACAAATTTGAAACTCACATCCCACACTATTGTTTTTCCATCATATCCAGCGCTCATAGCTATTCGGGGGTTGAAAGGATGAACATCCAAAACATAGGTCTACCAAAACACAAGTAACATTGTCAGAGATGACCAAATAACAAGCAGACAAACTAGGGGCAACATAAGCAACAAACAATTGCATCAGTGAGAACTGCAGCAAAATCAAAGAAAAGTAAATAAATAGATGTCTGATTCTGGTGACAGAAATCAGGACAACAGGGACATGAAGCTCTGCCATATTAACGTCTGATTTGCAGAGGATGAGGGTCACACAAAGTCTCAAGTATAATCAGTAAAATGTAGGCCCTCTCATAGACTACTTAATACCTATTCCATAAAAAGAGCTCACAATGCTGGCCAATGAGGAAACAGATTCCAGCAAGAAAATTGACCATCACTATCAACATCTAGTGCTTAACTTATCATTGCTATATAGAAGTTCTTCATAGCACTATATAACTATGAAAAGATTAAGCCCACGCTAAGGAGTTAGCTACATTCAACTTCAAAGGGAAAATTTTTGCAATTGGTTAAAATCATTTTTACATGTAGTGTGTGCATATATAGGTGGGAACACAAAGAGCACTAAGGAGTCCCCAAGTGCAAAAATGTAAAACGGAACTAAAATGCAAATCCATCTCTGCACACTTCTATACACACCAAAATTTTGTTAGTGAAAACCAGAACCTCGTATACATTTTTGTTTAAAAAAAATATGTAGGGTATCGTCGGCCAGCATGTACGCACAAGACAGTCCCTACGGCAGAACAAGCCTTCTGAAACAAGGTTTATGCCTTGCGGTACGTGGCCCAAAGAGTTTTGGCTGGCGAGGGAAATTGAACCTAAGACCTTGGAGGGAGCACACCCCCAAGTCCCAGGCCTCAGGCCTCTTCCACAAGGCCAAACCCTTGGGGTTACCTCGTACATAATGTTATCTACTCTAATTTCTATTCTATTATATTGTAAAAAAATCTATTCTAATTTCTATTATATAAAGCGAATACATGGGTTTGTCTCACAAGTAGTTTTGGTTTCTCAAGTTAAGAATTCCTTGACTGCATTTGGCAAAATTCTAATTGAAACGAAAAGTTTGTGCAGTTTAAAACTAATGTGATCATGGATATGCTTACATATACAAGAAATACTTCAAAATCTAAAGATTTTAGTTCAAATTTTGCAGAACTAGTCACCTTGTTTGGTTTAGACTGATTTTCTGAAAATTGAGCTTTTCAAAAGATGGTATAAGCTGATGCCTTATTCTAGTCATTAGAGCAGAAGAAATTATCAATATAATGTAAGAATATCATTCTCGTAAGAAGTTGCCACACGACAATGATTTTGATGGTGCACTGAAAAAAGAAAAAATAACATAAAAAAATAAAATCTACTTATACAACATATTCTTATATCAAATCTCATCATCTATCACCAGTATGAGACAAAGGAGGTGAAATCAAGTTAGATGGCATATCCATTACAGAATTTTTGTTCACAACGTAGATTTTTATTGGCATTACTAAAGCATAATGTTGGCAAGCAAAGGGGCAGCTATAATATGAAAGGCAACGATACAGCATCCATTACATGGCGCGGAAAGGTCATCTGATGAATATCTGTCAGTCTGTACAGAACGTATTCAGAATAACAAGGCAATGAAACTAAGCAAGAAATACTTAAGACATCCAGTTATCCCGCATTGTAAAATAGGACTACTACAGAATTACCTTCTCCTTCTCTTATCCTTTTCAGAAAAATCAAAATGCAAATTGTAAAGATTAAATGTGTACACCACTTACAGAATCACTATGACCAGTCAAAGAATGAACCAAACTACCATCAACAGCATTCCAGACACAGATTCTGCAATCTGCATAATTAGAACAATGTCATCTGCAAATTTTTTATGAAAGATTCAAACTAAGGTTTGAAACAAGTTTTAGAAATTTTAAACACAAACACATACAAAGCACTCTATGTTCACATATCAGTATATACAGAAAGGCAACCAAACTCACATGGAGAATGACGAGTCCCATCCCAGTGGGGAGGTGCTGAGGTGACACCTGACATAATTAGACAATAGATGCATTCGAAACTAAAAGAAATTTGTCTACTCTCTAATTGTTCCCCTCTATTGGGTGCTTGAAATCTCAGTTTTCAACTTTTTACTAGAGTCAATGTCCTAATTCTCAAGGTTGCCAGACAAGGACACCACCACATAATAAACTCACTCTCAGAAGTACAAGAAGTCCTCCAATACAGCATGCCATGCCGAACTGCACATCTGAATCTACTTATGTACACAAAGCCGACCAAGACTCAAAACCTAGGAATCATGGATACGAACAAGGGGCACGGCAATTTCAAATAAATCAAGGCACGGACACGAAGGGGATATTGCAAAATTTTCATTGCAGCACATTGCTTTTAAATTGCTAAACAATTCATCCAAAATAATGAGAACTACTCAACATCACACTTAGCGCAGACAGGAGAATTACAATAAGAAAAATCAAGTTATCAACAGCAATATCCTCTAAAAAGATCTGCCTATAGGGTAGTTCCTACCAATCTAGACCATGGATATGGGTTTAGTTTCAACCCTCTGAGATTTCTTTAAATAAAAGAATATATAAATATATTTCATCAGTGATTAAGGGGGAAAATCCATGAGAAAATGGTGCAAACAGTCAAATTTGATGAGTGCCAACTGCCAAGAAAATGTTAGAACATAACACCGAGAAGGATAAAAAAAGAAACAAACGAAATCAGTAATGTACAGCCAGCTGAATAATGTATCCTATTATTTTTATTATAAATAAAAACCTATATAGGAAAACCAGGGGAAAAGCCCATGTATATAAAATGGATATGAGAACCAGTCACAATAGAAAAACAGGAGCATAATAATTAACCGATAATTTTCCAGAGGATAAAATTATATGAGAAACACAGCAAACGTATTCTGTTATACACTGATGTGCACACGAGCATCTTACCCATGATAGCAGCAAGGACAAAACGATTGTCTAAACTCCACACAATCATATTCACACCGCGAGGAGTTGGAAGAATCCTCTGGCGTGGACCACCTCGTGGAGGTTGAGGAGGCATTGGCGGTGGTGGAACTTTCAAATGATATGCACGTGTCCACCGTCCAACCTTCCCCTAAAGAAAAAAAAAAGAAAAAAAGGAAGAAAAAAAAAAAAAGCAAAGCAAAAATCAAGATACTAGTCAAATCAAGTTTAAATTTAACCCATAGATCTTCATGGTCAAGAGAATAAAATGGAACACACCCAAGGACATGAGCAGCAAGCAACTTAAACATGAATACAGAAGTCAAGATAAAAAAGCACATGAAAGAAGAGCTCACATGTGATCTACGTGACTTTGGAATCCAAATGATTGCACTACCATCGCGAGAACAGGTAACTATATTATCATGGTTAAACCTGAAATGTAATGAGCTCATGATTATGCTTTTAATATATATGAAGCAATTATAGAACGTATGATGAAATTTCAACAACGACAACAACAGCAGCAAATAGACCTTATACGTTTTGATGAAGTTACAAAAAATACAAACGCACCAAGTGTTTTTAAATTTCGGAATATTCTCTTCCTTCAATGTGTCGACCATAGAGAATCTAGACGCCACATTGCAGCCACTGCATCATGAGCATGCATTGTCAGCATGCAAAAGTCAATCAAGGAAAAATGGAAGACAGAGTGGGGAAAACAAACCTGAATTGCACATAATTGACATCATTCTCATGCCCGACTAAAATATCAATCTCATGATTCGGCTCTGACTCATCTGTGTTTGATTTATAAGCACTCCAGACCTGCACGTAAATAGCTCTCCTTTAGGATTAGATTTTTTAATAGCTACGTAGATTTCACTATGAAACGTTTGCATGAAAACTTCATCTACAAGAGACAAAATACGGGAAGAAGGATCAGAAAATATATGGAAAATCAAATAACCCGGAGAAAATATTCAGATGTACCCTTGCAAGAGTATCTGAGCTACCAGTGACAAAGACAGTTCCATTAGCATTGAATGCGCAACAAAAAATCTGATGGCTCCGTTGACTAGCACTAGAAGATGGACCATTGTTCTTTGCTGCACCTGTCCGTATTTAGTACATAAGTCGTTTCACCAATAAATCAGTTGGTAAATAACCAGGCCAAAACAAAGCATTGACTAACCAGCTATAGAATCAAGAGGCCTAGGAACATATATACGTGGAGTGAACTGAGAGTATCTGGCATCCCAAATCCTACATGTTCCATCATCCGACGACCTACAAAGGAATAAAAAATACTAAAATAATTTACAGAGAGAAATGAACCTAAAAACAAAGATTCTGATTGCTAACTATGGGTCCCCCAGTTTAGAAGGGGACTGCAGAATAGGAATGTCTTCTATTCCATGAAAGGCTTGTTTGAACTGATTTATACTATGTTTCAGTCCAGGAGGGGGCTCAGGATGTGCTTGCTTGGGAAGCAACTAAAAACAATTTGTTCTATGTTGTCTTTCTAGCAGAGGACAGAGGTTATGTAAGCAGGGAGATCTAAAGTACACAATCCCATGAAAGGGATACAAATCTTCAAAGTTATAGTGAAGACAAATTCATAAAACAAACAAAACAAAAATCTACACCTAACCAAAAAAATCTATATAACGATGCTCAATGAAGTTAAAAAGTAAAAACAACTCTCAAGGCATTAAACTTACGATAGAAGCTGGTATGCAGAGTTTGGTCTAGGACTAAATGCAATGGCAGTAACAGCTCCAGTATGACCACGCAAAACTGAAATTGGCAGCCCATCGGGTAAACGCCACTATCAAAAACAAAAGGGAATAATCAGATAATCAATGAGCAAATTTAGAGAGAGAGAGAGAGAGAGAACCAATGAGCATATTTATATTGAAAAATAAAAGAAACTCACAACTCGGATGATGTAGTCATTTGACGCAGAAGCCACCAAAGTGTTGTTAGAGCTTACAGCCAAGTCAGTAATATCACCCTTTCAACATTTATGATGAAATATGAGGATTATAGCACCAGGTGGAAAAAAAAAAACACACACACACACACACACACATATATAATTATACACACACACAGAAACAACAGGTGAATTCTGTTTGCTGGGATGTTAACTCACTTCATGTCCACGACAGCTGGCCAAACAATAAGCAGTTTCCATTGACCAGATTTTTACTAGGCGATCATCTGAGCCAGTAATAACGTATCTCCCTGATCGATCAAATATGGCTGCATGCAAGCAAATTTCAGATACAACCCAACACCATCAGTCCCCAGACCAAGATTTATATTCACAAAATTTGAAAGAGAGACAAGAACAAGTATTGACACGACCACATTAGTTGAAGTAGAAAAAGGTAAATATGTTAGGTGAGCAAAGATAAATGGTTGACATAAACAAGCATTGTGTTGATGACCATCCAACAATAAATGATGCAACTTTACTCCTGAACATAATCTTTCTAAAAAAGCACGAAAGGGTACATATATAACAATGCCCATAACTGTATAGATTCCAGGCACAATCATCGATTTGGAGTTGCTCCCACATAATACAGGGAAAAAGAACTGTTTCTGTTTTAATGGTGTTGCAAACTCTGATTCAAATTAAAATCAGAGTTTATCCCCAGAGTTCACGTGACATAGTATTATCCTGTAATAGGGGTGGAATACAAAACAATGAAATATAAGAGACTGTGCTTCATTCATATTCCAACCAAACCAGTACTCCTCCTAATAACAACAAATAAAATGTTTATATATACATATATATTTCACCAGAATATCCACCATCAAGTGCAATTTCCTCAACAACCATAAAGCCTAAGAAGTAGTCTTACCAGCTTCAAATGTAGACTCCATGAACAAGCAGAAAATGATCGAAGTGCAGAAATAACATAAGTAGCAACAACACAAACTCTAGAAGAAGACTGTGAAGGAAGATTACCAGAAATTTTAATAAAAAGCTAAACAAAACAAAGCCTCAGCGTAAGTAATGTTTAAGTTCGCATTTCATGACTTGCATAATTTGGAATCTAGATGTGCTTGGCATCCCCAAGAAGTTCCAATGGAAGTCAGGCTAAGTATCAATATCATCAGTCATGTAGGAGATCGGATCAATTTCATGACCCTGAAAGTAAATTTCTCGTAGTAGCCGACCCCATTTGATGGGACTTAAGGCTTGGCTTGGTTTGGTTTGGTTTGGTCTGGTCTAGTAATTGCAAAAGATGCTTCCACAAGTTCACTCCCAAAGCATGGGCTAAATTTACCTAGATATACTCCTTGTCAAGTTTACTCAATGATACAAGCTATATGTGAACAAAGAATCTGAAAGGCTTAAGGTAACCTAGTACAATTTGATAGTATTAGTAATTAACCATTCATGCTATGATTTTGTTATTTATACATGTCAATTATCTTAAAAGTCTAGATGTTGACTTTATACTTGAAAAGGGAAGGAAGAGAGGAACCTTACCACAATAGACAGAATTTAGGTGCCCTCTAGTCCTTTTAATATTTTGCATCTTCTGCACCATAGTAGAGGGTTTTGCAATGGCATAACATGCTGCACGAATGGATGGTGCACGATGGTGTCTTGTGAAACCACCACCAATTTCCCTCAAACTCAGGCCGCGCACCTGATCAGCTTGCATGTGGGGCCAACGCAGGAAAGTCGGGGGTGGTTTTGTTCCATTGTTTACCTTATTTTGATCATCTGGAGAGAGAGAGAGAGAGAGAGAGAGCATTAGTGGCTAGCAAGAAATATAACAAGGGAGAGATTGGACAGGAGGGAACTCTTTCCATAACAGTATGAACTCAGAACAGTAATAATAACTAAAAATGGTCCACATGTTTCAAAAGGGAAATAAATTATTTCATGTTCTTCAATAGATGGGTTAGTGTTTATTTTGTCAATAAAACATATATGACTCCAGGAATCAAAGGTGTCCCGTGCAAATACATATAATGCTCAATACTCAAAGTATCATAAGAAATGTCATCACATACGGCTTAGAAGCGAAAAAGAACCAGTTCCCACAAGAGTAGGAACGGAAGCAGCACCAAAAGTACCCCCACCAACCATGCATCCAGACGGAGTAGACACATTCAATATCAGTTGCTTCAGAAGCTTTACCAAATGATCCTTTTCAACATGAGGATACCTATAGAAGCACAAAAGATGACCATAATCAATCAAATATACCACCAAAGGAGGGAGGGAATGGGACAACAATTCAACATATCCGAACATGCACCTGGCAACATCGTATGTTAATTCATGCATACAGGAAGATACCTCAAAATTATTATTTAAATTGTCTATTTGTGTGGAAGACTACAAATTGTTCAAGTAACTAATTAGCACAAAAACAATATAATGTGAACATCGTAAAAAGTTGATAGAAACAAATGTTACAACTTGGAGTTACAAGAAGCATAAATACCTCTCCACCAACTTATTGTAACTTAATGGAAAAGACAGGCCATCATCATTTTCATCCCCGCTATGCACTCCACTCCTGGAATACCAAGCATGATACCTTCTAGGTAAAAGTTGATGTTCCAAAAGCTCATTCCAAAACTGTCCATAAGTCCTGTGACAAGGCCCAGCTGATAGGAAATGCATAATCAGAAAATAAACCTCTCTCAGGTCAATATCTACATCAGTCTCTGCATCTGGACTTGTAAGCCTAGCTTTCTCATTTTCCTTCTTAGAAAAACTCAACGGTTTCATATTCACAGAAGGTGCATCACAAGAAGGAACATATTTCCGAAGCGCCATATTTCCTACAACAACAGACAGAGTTCATAAAGCATTTAATTTAGAACATACATGAAGAACAAAAACCCAACAGAATTTAACATACAATGCAATCTTATCATGGTTCAAAATTTTGACCAAAAAAATGGATTTGATAGAAACCCAAAGAAAGGTAAGAATTATTTTCTTCTTTTGTATCACATAAACTGATAAAAGTAAAACATCAAGCACATCCAGGAAATTCCATCAATGCCCCAGCAATTGAAAAACTGTTAACAATTCCTACTGGTTGTGAGTAATTATGGTCAGAGCTATCATGATTGAACGAACTAGTGAAATTTGGATTTAATGCAGGCTGAAATGAAATAAACCAAACCAAACAAAGCCTTAAATCTCATCAAATGGGGTCAGCTACATGAATCCTTCTTCTTCACGTGACCCTATCAAAGACCATTTCATTAATCAAATTAAGTATATCTCTATTACTATTTATAACGCTAGCCAATATTAATCTAAACCAATCCCGTCCCCTAACACTTCCATCTACCGTTACAGCATCGCATCTCTTCACTACTGCCTCTGTTGGTCTCCGTTGAATATGACCAAACCATCTCAATCGATTTTCTCTCAACTTATCTTCTATTGGTACTACTCCTACCCATTCCCGAATACACTCATTCCTAATTCTGTCTTATCTAGTCTTACCACACATCCACCTTAGCATCCTCATCTCAGCCACACTCATCTTATCTACATGTTTCTTGATTGCCCAACACTCCATCTCATACAACATAGCTGGTCTAATAGCCGTTCTATAGAACTTACCTTTTAGTCTAGTGGGTATTCGTTAGTCTAGTGGGTATTCGTTTATCGCACAATACCCCAGAAGCACTTCTACACTTACACCATCCCGCCTTAATCCTATGGCCCACATCTGCATCAATCTATCCCGCTGTTGTGATAATCAACCCTAAATAACGAAAATATTCACTCTTAGACAGTTCTTGGTTCTCAATCTTCACTTCTCCTCGGCTTTCATTGTTACTATTACTAAATTTACACTCCACGTACTCTGTCTTAATTCTGTTTATCCGAAATCCTTTAGATTCAAAAGTTGTTCTCCAAATCTCCAACTTTGTGTTAACTTCTTCTCTAGTCTCATCCACTAGCACAATATCGTCTGCAAAAAGCATACACCATGACACGTCATTCTGAATATTTCTCGTCAACTCGTCCACAATTAAAGCAAAAAGATAAAGACTTAAGGTAGATCCTTGGTGTAACTCTACAGTGATAGGAAATTCATTTGTCTCTCCAGCTGGCGATCTAATAGTGGTCACCACCCCTTCATACATGTCCCTAATCACGTCAATGTAACCTTTTGTCACCCCTTTCTTCTCTAACACCCATCATAATATATCCCGGGACACTCTATTATATGCTTTCTCAAGGTCGATAAACACCATATGAATGTCTCTTTTTTTTTCTTTATACTTTTCTATTACTCACCTCAAAAGATAGATCGCTTCCATTGTTGACCTACCAGGCATAAACCCAAATTGATTCTCTGACACCTCTATTATTTCTCGCAATCGGTGTTCTATCACCCTCTCCCACACTTTCATTATATGACACATTAGCTTGATTCTTCTATAGTTGTTGCAATTCTGAACATCACATTTATTCTTATGATTATTTTAAATTTAAACTCCAGACTATTACTGAATGCTAATCTCATCATCCTGATTCTTTGTCAATATTCTAGTTATTCTCAGCAATTGCACTTCTATACTATTCATGGAAAACTTTATAACTAATATAAGATCCCATTACCAAATTAAAGGTGTCTTCATGATAGTGGGACACATAGCCTTCACTTTAGGCTTCCAAAGCCTATTTATTATATTTGTTTATCCATAAAATGGACATAGTAAATTCATCAGGTCTCTAAGCCTTGTCCCCTATCACACTCAAAAACAGCTAACCTAATCTCTTCCCCATTAAAAGATCTTTGACACATTAGCTTGATTCTTCTATAGTTGTTGCAATTCTGAACATCACCTTTATTCTTATGATTATTTCAAATTTAAACTCCAGACTATTACTGAATGCTAATCTCATCATCCTGATTCTTTGTCAATATTCTAGTTATTCTCAACAATTGCACTTCTATACTATTCATGGAAAACTTTATAACTAATATAAGATCCCATTACCAAATTAAAGGTGTCTTCATGATAGTGGGACACATAGCCTTCACTTTAGGCTTCCAAAGCCTATTTATTATATTTGTTTATCCATAAAATGGACATAGTAAATTCATCAGGTCTCTAAGCCTTGTCCCCTATCACACTCAAAAACAGCTAACCTAATCTCTTCCCCATTAAAAGATCTTTCCAACCAATTACCCTCAATGGCATCATCCAATAATGGAAAACAAGCTTATGTTCTGCTCTTACTCCCATCTCATCATCCTCTGAAAATCCCCATTTCTATATACCTCAAACTCAATGTTAAAGAATCTACAAGAAAGATGCCATAAACGAGTAGTTAGGGATGCCCTTAACTTAATGTTTTCTCAACTTAAGCTTTGAGTCTCTGACAACACATCTGGCTAAGAGTTAGTGGTTTAATTGAAACTAAACATGGAATTCAAACTGGCCAATGCATGTAGGCTCCTATAACTCCCCTTCCAGCTTTTCCATGCATCCTCACATCAAAGCTGACAAATTATTTAATCCATACCCTCCCCCGACCAGCCTACCTTTCTAACGTACTGTTACAAATTTGACTATTATCACTTGCATTGGCCCATGATATCTTGTCCATTCAAATCAATTGTCTCTAACCCCTAACTGTAGCATGTAATGATGAACCCACAAAAAGAAACCTGACCCATGATTCATTTGTGCATTTTCATTGAGTGACACTATCAAAGATCTCAGCATTATGGAAAAAAGGCAATTAACAACCATGAAAATTGATAAATGCATAGTGAAAATTAGGCATAAAATACATCTTAAACAATGCAACACACAAGTGCCTAATGTAAGCAATTGAAGAACAAAACATATAATAAAATTAAAACCCGGATTAAAAAAAAAACGAACCTTTCAAATGCTATGAAGAAGTTAACCGGAGGGACAATCACCAGAAACCCGAAATTGACCTCCGCGGTTCCAAAACCCTGAGCCACAATAACCCATAATCCACTGCAAAATCAAAGAAACCCCCAAACTTAAAGGGTCATTTTTCACTTCCCAGTACCACAAAACAATCAAAATGCACATTCAAACAAGGAATGTTGCAAAACCCAAATGAGATCCAATCGAAGACATGCAAGCAAAACAAACAAAACCTAAAATACAAAATGCTTTCAATTCAATTGAGAGAATAAATGGAAGTACCTTCGGTGGGAAACACAACGTCGAGCTTTCCTGGTTGTGAATCTAACGAATGGGATCGACAGAGTTGGAAGAATTCAAGAGAGAGAAAGGTATATATATGTATGGGTTTGAGTGTATAGAGAGATAAACAACAGTGAAGGCATGAGAGGAGGAATTTAGATTTGTTGGAGGGAGCTCGATATTTTTGTCTTCGGGCTCTGTAGTAGTTGGCGTTAGAGAGAGAGAGCAAGAGAGATGGAAACGAGAGAACATCGAGCGAGAGAGAGAAGGGTTAAAGCAAGCAAGCAAGCGTTTTTATGCCCTCTAAAAACATACTTTGGGAACAAAATGGAAATAAAAATTAAAAAAAATAAAAAGATAATGTGAGGAGTTATCCTACGCGGGAATGTGCAGCGTGGACACCTAGACACTGCCAAATCAGAACATTTTGTGCTTTAACCAATTGTACTTACTTCTTGCTGTATTTTTGGCAATTTTAGTGTACTTTTTTTAACTTAAAAATTTATAATAAAAATATAAATACTTATTTTGCTTTTAAATAATTAATTTTTTAAATTTATTTATGTCTAACAAATTATAAATAAAAAATGAACAAAAAATTGAACAAAAAATTTTAAAAAAAAAAAACAATTATAAGTACTTATTTCACATAATCTGCACCAACCAACCCCTTTACAGTCCTTTAAATTTTAGATTAATTTGATTTTTGAAAGTTGAAATAACTTTGTTGACTTTTTTTCTATATATGCTTTTAGCATCTCTTGGAAATTTTTTAAAAAAAAAAACATTAGAAAAACAATGACTATATTGAAAAAATAAATAAACCCGTCTACTTTTATTTATTTATTTATTATTATTATTACTATTATTTTTTTTTTTTTAGTATGTTCAACATTTTAGGCCAAAACAACTAAAAGAATATTTATATAATATACCATATCATGATTATTTTCCCATTTCCCATTGAAGAACAAAAAAAAATGAAATGGACACACATATTGAACTACCTAGATCAAATAAGATTTGGTTGGACTAAAAATTAAAGACAATGTTTAATCTTTGATTGTTTCATTTAATTTAACCTTCGTTTGGCAATGACTTTTTTAGTTAATTTTTTGATTTTTTTTAATTTTTTTAGCCTAAGATATTTTTTTTCGTTTGACATTCTTGATTGGCTTTTTAGTTTTGGAATAATGGATTTTATTTTTTTTTTTGCCCTTTTGTAATTTTTTGACTTTTTTTTATCCTTTTGTGATTTTTTAACCCAACTTAAAAACCAAACAACCTCTTAATATAATATTTGAAAAAATTGGTCTAAGATCTTTACACAACTTTTGGTAGGAGGAAAGGTCCGCAATAATATTTTTCTGATGCCTAAGGACCTTCAACCTTATTTTAGGTTGTAAAATACCTAATTTACCCTTCTTTATAAAATACGTTTGTTTGGATTTTGGCAAACTGAATATTCAATTGCTGTTTTGTAGAAGATTTCATGAGGGATGGACTTCACAGTGGAGATTTCGTAGGAGATTTTGTAGGGATTTTGCAAGTGTTACAATGGACTCGACGATGGAGATTGCTATGATCGTCTAGCTGTTGCAGTGGTGTTGATTGTTTTTGTTTTGATTTTCAATGGAGTTGAATCAAGTATGTTTTCGATGGAGATTTCATATGGATTTCGATTTTTGATTTGAATTGTATGTAAAGATTCCGATTTCATATTAGTTTTTCGAGTGTATTTTGCATTAGGATTTTGTTTTCAGTTTTGATTAATTTAAAATAGAGGTCAGCTTAGTGAAGTTGTTTATGAATTTTGGAGTTGATTTTTCATTCTCTGTTGTTGATCAATTTTAGAAAGAGGTCAGCTTGATAAAGTTGATTTTGATTTTTGGAGTTCATTTTTCATTCTCTGTTTTTTTATCAATTTCAAAGAGAGTTGATAGTGGAGTTGATTTTGATTTTTAGAGTTCATTTTTCGTGCTCTTTTTTCATCAACATGCTTATCAATGATAAGTTTTGTTCTCTATTTTTTTAAACCAGAGATAAGTGTCACCACCCAAACCCGGCCCTATGGGTTTAGCACCGTAACCGGCCAGTAATCCGAGATTACCGAAGGCCTACTTAACAGTAATACGGTAAAACAGAGTACAGGGCCTGGCGGAAGCCAATACAGTAAATAAATAGTGTCCATTGAGCTGTGACAGTCTGTATGCAAAAAGGATTTTTCATGCATTCATACATACACAAACAGTACAGTCTATACAGAATTTACAATCACACAGTACAGGGACTTAATCCCTTGATAACAGTACGGTAAACATTCAGTCTATACCGAACAGTTAGACAGTATGAAGACAGGCGGGGGAAAACAAACAAAACACCCCCAAGCCATAGCATGGCAACTCGGAACCTCGCCTCATTCCATTAACAGAAGAGCAAGAAATGGCCAAAAAGAGGGCAGTCAGAGCACTCATTACTGAAACAGCTACTTAGGCCGAGGTCCCACAAGTTGGCCAAACAAATGAGACAGTGGTTGCCCTTCCAACGGCCCGTGCCTCGTCATTCCGGCCGAGTAAACATGCTCGCACTTCCTCCACCGAGCCACGCCTTGTTGATGAAGAAGACACCACCATACTTCCCCAAACCACGCCACCGAGCCCAGAGCCCGAACGTTCCGACTAGGCTAACTCTTCTGATTGGGGACAAAACGGTAATTAACTCAAACTCTTTAATTAGCTTATTTTAATCTAATTTAATCATACCCAATCAGTTTTCAGGTAAATACACCATAAAATCACATTAATTACGAGGGTCGTGGAACATCAATCGGTTTCTAATTCGGCCGCCGATAAGGCCTTCAATTAGCAGTTTAAACATATAAGCATGAACAGATAATCATACAGTCAAACAGATAGAATGCAATTTAACTAACATATACTCAATCAATTCGGTTTGCAATTTCAGTCAGTCAGTTCAGTACTTTAATCAGTTCAATTATCAGTCATAATCAATTCAGTTTAACGGTAATCGGTGATTATCGGTAATCAATCAGTCATTAATCAGTAAACAGCATGAGGGTTGTTACAATAAGTGAAAATTTCTTATCATTTTTTGTTCTCTAAGTTTTGTTCTATATTTTTTTCTGCACTTTTGTTGGTAGTCTAGAGAAAATTGTAAGTTTGTTATTATAATCTAACAAAAATCACAGAGAAAATTATAAGTTCATATGGACATATAATTATAAGTTTTTTAAACCAGAGATAAGTGAAAATTTCTTATCATTTTTTGTTCTCTAAGTTTTGTTCTATATTTTTTTCTGCACTTTTGTTGGTAGTCTAGAGAAAATTGTAAGTTTGTTATTATAATCTAACGAAAATCACCGAGAAAATTATAAGTTCATATGGACATATAATTATAAGTTTCTAATGCAGATAGAATCACAGAAAAAATTGTAAGTTTGTGTTTCAATGAAAATCACAGAGAAAATTGAAAGTTTGTAATCCAGTAAATATCACAGAGAAAATTGTAATTTGTTATGGACATGTTATTATAAGTTTGTTATTTTTTATTTTCTCAATTGAATGTTTTGTGAGTATAACAGATCTTCTCTATCAGTTTCTCTAAGTTTTTGTGGAATAGTTAGCATTTTTGTCAATTTGATGTTAATGTTTTTTTTATTTTTGTGATCTTGAAAGCGAATATAAGTTCTTAATTTCTCTGGACATTTATTTGCAGTTCAGAGAAAATTATAAGTTTGTCATTATAATTCCGAAAAAATCATAATTTTATTTGGACATGTTATTATAATGTTGTTATTTTTTATTTTTAATGTCCTCTAGACTAGATATATGGATTGAGGATTTAATTGAATGTTTTGTGATTAAATTTGAATGTTTCATTTGAGCAAAAGTTATTTTTTGTTTTTTTCCTTTCAGTTTAGATGGACAGTACAGTATTTTTTTTTGTAATCTTGAAGGTGCATATAAGTTCGTAAATTTCTCTGGATTTTGATTTGAGTCCAATACTATACAATCACACAGAGAAAATTGTAAGCTTGTAGTCCAGTGAAAATTACAAAGAAGCTTATAATTTCATAACAGATATTCTGTGTGATTTTTTTCTATGATTGTGTTTAATAGTTAACATTAAATTTCTCTGTGATTCTCTCTGGATTCATTAACACTATGTTTGGGAACTTAGGAGAGAAAAGAAGAGAAATGATTACTTAAGTAGTAAGAGAAAAGAAAAGAAATAATTGTGATTTCTCTCCTTTTTGTTTGGATAAGGAAAAAATAAAATAAAATAAATGATTGTGATTTCTCTCATTCTTGTTTGGTTAGGTTTCATTAAGAGAAAAGAAAAGAAATTATTTTATGTTATATTACCAAAATAACCTTTTTATATTTTCAATCATTTTATTTCTTTTATTTTTATAAGGACAAAATTGGTATTATGAAAATAGTGGTTTCTTTTTTCTCTCAATCTCTCCACTTGTGGGAAGATTGAAAATGAGGCTTATAAGAGAAATGAGTTTCTCTCCATTTCTCTCAATTTCTTCTCATTTCTCTCTACTTAGGTTATCCAAACAAATAAGAGAAATACATATCATTCCATTTCTTTTCTTTTCTCTCAAATCACTCAATCCAAACATAGCGTAAGTTTTCTGTGACTTTGTTTTTGTTATCTTGAAGGTGAATATAAGTTTGTAAATGTCTCTGAACTTTTATTTGGGTCTAGAGAAAATTATAAGATCGTTATTATAATCTAGAAAAAATTATAATTATTAGAAATTTCTTTGGACTTTTATGTTGTTCTTGTGAAGTGTTTTTATATTGAACAAGTTATTTTTCGTGTTTTTTTTTTCAATTTCGATGGACAGTGCAGTGTTGTTGTTGTGCAAATATAGGAATGATACTATTGTCATTAATGTTTTATGTAAATTGAATTTTGAGGAATTGGTTGACATTTTATGTAAAACATGGGAGAATTTGAAACCTAAGACGATGCGTATTTCATATTCTATTGTGGGCCATTCAAATTGCATGGTTCAAAATAATATTTATTTTTTGAATATGTTGAGGGTTGTTTGTGCATATGGTATTGATATAGTTGATGTTTTAGTTATTAGGTGTAGTACTTCTGATCAAGAGGATGAAATGGGGTCTAATTGGGTAGATGTTGTGCATGGTAAATGTGATAGGCTAGTGGCTATTGAAAGGAATTTACTCTCTAAGTTTTGTTCTCACTAAGAAAAGGTGTTATTGTCAGCTGGTTGGCGAAATA